TTACATACTGAAATAGATATTCTAAAAATTACTTTCTATTTCTCCTTTAAATTACAACTAAGATCTTACATTAATTTTTTAAAAGTTATGTCAGATGGTGTACTATTTAAATTTCAGGAAGAAAAAGGGAGTTATAAAATACTTGTTTTAAAAAAGAATCCTATGAGATGAAAACTATTAAGGCATTGAAACAGAGGGTAACAAATTCTTTTTCCTCTTTTTAGTAACTACTTCCCTAACAATTATCACTAATTCTGTGGATAGAGGAAGTGAGGATGCTGTAGACTGAATGTTGTTTGTATTCTCCCCCAAAYTCACACTGAAACTAAATCCCCAATGTAAGGATACTTGGAGGTGGGGTCCTTGAGGAAATTCATGCCCTTAGAAAAGAAGCCCCAGGTTCGGAACCTACTAGATTAGTCCCATTATAAAAGAGGCCTCAGATCCCTCTATGTCAGGACATAACAAAAAGACTGCCATCTTCGAGTCAGGAAGCAAGTCCTCTGCTGGCACTTTGACCTTAGACTTCCTAGCCTCTAGAATAGTGAGAAATACATTTCTGTTGTTAATAAGTCACAGAGTCTATGGTGTTTTATTATAGCAGCCTGAACTGGTAACACAGGGGATAGGAAGATGAGGAAGATTTAACATTAAATAGGAATGATTATTTGGTCTTATTTTTAAGAAAGTGCCTTCTCAAGTTTTATGTTGTGTAGGTTTACAGAATAGTATAATTAATGAGGACACAGGCTCCTAAATCAKATTACCTGGGTTCAGACTGTGGCTTCACCAATTGCTGTATGATTTTAATGAAATCAATTTCTTACTTCATTTCCTTCTGAAGCAAAGTGGAGGTCATAATATCACCTCACAGGGTTATTGTGAGAATTAAATGAGGCAACATAAATTTAAGTATGTAAAACTTCTGCTATACAGAGTATCAAATAAGTATATGTTATAATAAATATGTATAACCAGAAACTAGAGTGCTCTGAAAAATAAACTTGCTGTTCAACTGTTAAACATTTTTTTTAAGCACAGACAGCTAATTTTATTATCTCTATTTTGCTGGTGGGGAAAATAAGCAAGGTRAGGGTGCCATCCAATTCTTAAAAAAAAGAGTAATGGGGCATATTTCAAAAATTTCTAATATTTACTATATACTCTAGTAAAGTTGTTCCTATTTGATTCTATTTATGTTTGGATTTCTGTTAAACCTCTTATCTCCTAGCAAATGAAAACTTCTTCATAGATGTTCATGGCATTTTCTATAGCTATTTTTTCTATAAAATCATAAAAAGACATACCAGAACTTTATGATTTTATAGAAAAAATAATTTTTTATTGCCAATTGCCAACAGGAAAGGCTCTATTGTATAATAATGAATAATAATATCTGATATTTTTATCTTTTATTTTTGGGACCAGGGACTGAACCCAAGAGCACTGAACCACTGAGCCACATCTCCAGCCTTTTTTGTGTAGAGCTAGGGTGTTGCTAAGTTGCTTAGGGCCTCATTAAGTTGCTGAGGCTGACTTTGAACTTGCAGGTCTCTTGCCTCAGCCTCCCAAGCAGCTAGAATTACAGGCATGCACCACCAAACCCAGCTAATGTCTGATATCCTAATGTGCCAGAAATTGTAAAGTATGACTCATRGCTACAATGCATATCTACCATACTCAAAATATAATTCTACCAGCAGTTATATTATGCATTTTAGTAAAACCTTTTAAATTTTTCATATAAATTAAAATTTTTACTTAAGTCATCAGGTTTTATTAAAATATTCTATGAGAGAATGACTTTCATGAAATAATCAAGAAAGTAAAAAAGTAAACGGTAGATGGCAGAGGTCATAAGAACTATAGAAATTTTGAGGACTATAAAAATCCTTGTTTATGAAATTAAGAGCATTTAGAATGCTTACTACAATCTTCATGGACTGAGTTTTTTGGTTTTTTGGTACTGGGGATTGAGCCCAGGGGTGCTTTACTACTGAACTATATCCCCAGCCTTTTTCTAAATTTTAATTTTGAGACAGGGTTTTGCTAAGTTGCCGAGGGCCTCATTATTAAGTTGCTGAGGTTGGGGAACTTACAGTCCTCCTGCCTTAGCCTCCGAGTCTGGATTATAGGCATGCCTCAYTGTGCCTGGCTCATGGACTGAGTTTTTAACAGGCTATTAGGAGTGGAAGATGATTCAGGTGACAGGAATAATCAAAGGTAGAGAGAGGGATATTTCCAGTAGAAGAGAAATCTTTTTTAAAAAAATTGGTATACACAAAAAGAGAAAGTTTTAATTTTATAATGTTCTATAAAGTTCTATAATAGTTCTTTCAGCATTTGCTGCTTTTTTGCATCCCTGCTCAGATTATAATGAAAGAGTTACTCCTTCAACAGTGCAAAGATTCTTTAGGAGAAGAAACAAAGCAGAGCAGTGTCAAAGAATAACTCAATTATAGAACACTGTCAACTTGTTTACAGAGAACATAAATCAATAGATGGGTTTTACCCCACTAAAACAAAAATGAGAATTTATTAAGAGAAACAGCACTGCAGGGAGAGAAAAATAATTGCTTTCTGTTGAGTGACTCTTGTTAATATTTTTAAAAGTAGGATAACTTATTTTCTGGCAGTCAGCAAAGAGGTTAATCTGGACTCACTGTCCTTGAATAGGGTGACTAGGGATAAAACAAGCAAACAAAAAAACCTGACAATCTGTTTCTCTGTATTGTCTGCCTTCTATCACTACCTCATTCTTAGTTGAATCAGGTCTACACTACTTCCCTCACTAGAAGTCTTAGAATACATGCTGTTTTTCTTTAAATTCTTTTCCTCTAGATTCTGAGTCCTCATTTGAATATGATCATATTCTAGATTGCTCAAGAAGAAATTTCTGTTGCAAAGAGCTGTCATTGTTTGTCTAATATGAATTTAAGATCTTAAATATAAATATGCAAAATTTAAGTTTTCCTTTGGTCTTACCTTTTCTAAAGATTAACACCAGTGTTCTCACATTCAAACAAACTAATAGACAATAGTGGTACCAAATGAATTCTCAGCTGACTTGGATAGATAATAACTAACTTTTCTTACTGTTTTTTTTAACCACAGACAGCTAATTTTATTATCTCTATTTTGCTGGTGGGGAAAATAAGCAAGGTGAGGGTGCCATCCAGTTCTTAAAACTCCGAAGAAAGCAATTGATTTGAATACCTAAGACTGCACATATTTTATCCAGTTAAAATGTAAGCAAAGAAAGCAAACCAAAACAACAAAAATGCAGAGTAGAGGAATTAACCATGCAGAAATGCTAAATCAAGACCTATGTCATTTTTTTTGAAAGAGAAAAAAAGTTTCATTTGTATTATTCTAAGATGGTTGGGAAAGAAAAATAAAACATTAAGATTATCTATGAGGAATGACACACAGAGATTCAAAAAGGCCTTTTCAAAAGTGGAACAAGACAGGGATGTCCTCTTTCACCACATAGTTCTTACAACTCTAGCCAGAGTGATTAGACAGATGAAAGAAATTAAAGGGATATGGATAGGAAAAGAAAAAAACTATTACGATCTGCTGACAGCATGATTCTATACCAAGAGGATCCAAAAAATTCCACCAGAAAACTTCTAGAACTAAAAAATGAATTCAGCAAAGTAGCAGGATATAAAATCAACACCCATAAATCAAAGGCATTTCTGTACATCAGTGACAAGAAAGAGAAACTAGGAAAACCACCCTATTTATAATAGCCTCAAAAATAAATAAATAAATACTTGGGAATCAACGAAAGAGGTGAAAGACCTCTACAATGAAAACTACAGAACACAAAAGAAAGAAATTAAAGAAAACCTTAGAAGATGGAAAGATTTCCCTTGTTATTGGATAGGCAGAATTAATATTGTCAAAATGACCATACTGCCAAAAGCACTATATAGATTTAATGCAATCCTAATCAAAATCCCAATGACATTCCTCATAGAAATAGAAAAAGCAATCATGAAATYCACCTGGAAAAATAAGAGATCCAGAATAGCCAAAGCAATCCTTAGCAAGAAGAGTGAAGCAGGTGGTATCCCTATACCAGACCTTAACTTTTCTTACTTTTTAAACAAATATTTTAAAAAGACAGTAGATTAGGTGCCTGCAAATAGCTGACAGTTGCTTCTGTGCTGCAGTGAATTACAACAGCCAATTTGGGCACATACATGTGGGCTTCATGCCCACAGGCATTATGAAGCAGAAAYGACTTTGAGATTATAACCTGGAGAAAAGCATAATACACATCATTTTAGAATTTAAAATCCRCTGACATAGTATTTATAATTTGTGCAAGCCCTGTGTATAGTCACCTCTAAGTAAGGGGGGGGGATACTTTGCTACTCCTATTAAGTGAAAAGGAAATACTTTCCATTTGTTTCATTGACATTAGCCAAACTATAAAAACTATAAAATCTGTATGGAAATGAAGTAATCCTTTATGATGTCTTGTTAGGATGAAAGATGTCTCCCTTTCAGCTGCTTCTAGTTTAAAAAATCACAGCCTAGCAACATTTCCCTTCTCTTTAAAAATCAAAATCTGTTCATCTCAATTCTTTACTAATAGCCACAAATTTGTACCTTAAAGGAAGGCCTTTGATTTGATGAATCCCCTTTCCTATTCACTCCCTATGAGTCTGAATACACAGTAACTAACCGTTCTTACATTTTAAGTAAATACTTGAAGGTAGGTACCTTAGAAATTCATTCAGAGACCTAGATGACCAWATCAACAAAATTCGTACATGCTTGAGTTTGGTTTGCATCCATTTATGTACGTCAAATTTCTTTTCCAGACTGATTGAATTCGTAACGTTTTGTAACAAGCAGACAAAGGAATATGTTTGATTGATAAGCATAATCATCCGGCAGTGAGTTCTCGCGTGATGGTTAATGACGTCACCGGTTGCCATGGCAGCGCCCGCCCAAGGAAAAGGGGTGGTGCTAAGGAGCTGACTGCGGCGGAGCGCAGCTTCTGCAGAGGACAAGGAACGCCCTTTTGCAGATCTGACTTCCACCACAATGAGCGGCCAGGAGGTGGGCGACAAGCTCTCTCTCGCCGAAACCGCCCCTGCGGACCAGGCCCCAGGAGATCTGCCCCTAAATCAGTGCGAGGGGCTCCGCGAGGAAGCCGAGGCGGCACCGGAGATGGCGGACACAGGTGAGGGCAATTTGGAGGCCACTGCGGAGGGAGGTGCACCCCGGGATTCCGTGGACTGTAGCCCCGCACTCTGCGTCCGAGTTGCCGGGAGCCTCAGCCTTGCAGCCACCGGAGGGGGAGTCGAGGATGCTGTGCCTCCTTCGAAGGGCTCGGAAGCAGCCTCGGTCTCTGTCGGAGCCGASAAGAGCCAGAAAAATGGCTGTCAGCTTGGAGAGCCGCGTAGCTCTGCGGGGCAGAAGGCTCTGGAAGGCTGTGGCGCAGGGGCCTGGGGGTCTCAGGTGAAACCTGGGGCGAAAGCCAAGGAAGTGACGATTAAGAAGTGCGCCATCKCGGCAGCAGCAGAAAAAGAGGGAGTAGCAGAGGCGGTGATGGAGGAAAAGAAGGTGGTACAGAAGGAAAAAAAGGCAGCTGGTGGAGGGAAAGAAGAGGCCCGGCCTAGGGCCCCGAAAATCAATAATTGCATGGACTCGCTGGAGGCCATCGATCAAGAGCTGTCAAACGTAAATGCCCAGGCCGACAGGGCCTTCCTCCAGCTGGAGCGCAAATTTGGCCGAATGAGAAGGCTCCACATGCAGCGCAGGAGTTTCATTATCCAAAATATTCCAGGTTTCTGGGTCACCGCTTTTCGGAACCACCCTCAGCTGTCACCTATGATCAGTGGTCAAGACGAAGATATAATGAGGTACATGATCAATTTGGAGGTGGAGGAACTTAAACACCCCAGGGCAGGTTGCAAATTCAAGTTCATCTTTCAGAGCAACCCATACTTCCGAAATGAGGGGCTAGTCAAGGAGTATGAGCGCAGATCCTCCGGCCGAGTGGTGTCTCTTTCCACTCCAATCCGCTGGCACCGGGGCCAAGACCCCCAGGCCCATATCCATAGGAACCGGGAAGGGAACACCATCCCGAGTTTCTTCAACTGGTTCTCAGACCACAGCCTTCTAGAATTTGATAGAATTGCTGAGATTATCAAAGGGGAACTGTGGTCCAATCCCCTACAATACTACCTGATGGGAGAAGGTCCCCGAAGAGGAATTCGAGGTCCACCACGACAGCCTGTGGAGAGCCCCAGGTCCTTCAGGTTCCAGTCTGGCTAATTTCTGCCTTTGAGAAGCTCCTGCACAAGTCTCCTTACCATCATCTATTCTTGGCCAGCAGCATGCAGCCTTCTGTCTGCTTTTTCATTGTACTGAATTAGTTTGTCTTTCAGTTCTAAGGTTTCAACAGTCAATTTCAAGATGGCCTCTTACATACCTATGCTATTCTTCTTCTGGCCCTTCAAGCTGTTCTGCATTGTGTGAACATATTCCAAGTGCATGGCCTTCTACTGCTTCTATGCTACACTCGTGATGTTGTAGATACGTACTGCCTTCTTTGCATGGCTTGGGTCCTGTCTGTGACTATGGTCTTCTCCCAGGTCTTTTAGTCATTCTCTACCACAAGGAAGCTTGACACTTCTTTACAAATAACTAACTACACTTTATGCTTGTTGTGCTTCTAATATCCATGTACTATGTGTTCTTGAGTTTCACCCCTGCAAGATGAAACTGAAATCCCAACTCAGCCATCAACCCAAACTGGACATTCTGGGCTACCACTTACTGGATGCCAGCTGCTTTCTGGGCCTTTTCCATCTAGTCTTCTGGTGGAACAAGCAGGTGGCTCGTGGGTAACTGCTAGACACAAATGAAGTAGCCCAACAAGAATGGGCTTTTTGTACTTTTGGTTATTGTGCATCGCAGTCGGCTACTGGTGAGTATGAAGGCCTGTGCTGTAGCCCACCAACACTACTTCCTCCCTGCTGGTGGAGCTCTGCACAGGTCACCACTGCCTCGACAGAACTATCTATGGACCTAAGCCCCTAAGCAACACACAGGAACCCCCATATCTACTGTGATTACCCATAAACCCAATTACTTGTAAGGCAAGTTGAGTAGTGATAATGCAGTGCCCAAAGCAAGGTGGAATAGTCCCTTTTAGTAGCCTTTCAGGGACCTAGCCAACAAACCACCCTTAATACAGGTGACTTTGTTTGGCTACCCCTCTTTCCCCCTTCCATCCTCCTCTGGACATGATGGAGTTGCCAGGGTGAGGGCACTAAGAGGTTTTTTCTGGAATGTAGGTCTTGTTATGCCTCTCATTCTTCCCCTATCTTTTTCTCCTCCTTCCCTCTCTGGAGCAGTTACTGCTAAGAGACAGAAAACAAACTGGCAAAATAGGTTTTTGGTTGTTTCCAGAAAGAGATTTGTAAATTAGACTTCAGATCTCTGCCCTTATTTCTTCACCCCACTTTTAGCAAGGTCACATAGGGACCTGTAGGGTAACTGCTTATTTGGGCATTGTGTTCTCTAATTGTGGTATCCCCACCCTTTTTCTCTGATCCTGCCTAATTCTGTGAATTTCTTGAGCTTTAATTTGAGAAGCTGGAAGGAGAGAAAAGGACCTCAGTGATGTGTTGAAGGCAGACCCTGTACAGGTTGTGTGCYAAGCAACTAGAATTTGCTTTACTTCACTTTTCTAAAGATGACAATTTTGGGGGACTTGGACTGTTTAAGAAATGATTTGAAAATAGCATTTTGTGAGTCACTCTGCCTCTACTGCTGTGATATTCCATAAGCTCCATTCTACTGCCTGGTCCTCTGGGTCCTCACTTCTTAGTTTCAGCATTTCTTTCCCTGCTTTGTCCTTCCAAATGAGGGAGTAGGCTGCAGTCCTCATTGTGGGAATAAAGTGGAGTCTGCGTTTCCAGGACAAGTTCCAGCACAGTGATGTTGTAGGGCTGTCTCAGTTGTGGGGGTATATGGTGCTGGTGAAGACCATTGGCCTTCACCCTTTTCCTTTGTTTTGAAGTCCTTTCCCTGAGCTCCTGAGGGCTAAGGAGGTCTGACACAATCAGTGGAGAGGGTGATCTAGGCTGGGAAACTAACTAAAGGCCCAGAAGCAGAAATAAGCCTGATGTATTGTGAGTTTCTCAAGGCCCACAGTAAAGATCCCTGCAGGATCAGGGGTGGAAGGCGAGGCCTGAGGCAGTTCGTAGGGTAGAGGTGAGAGAATCAAAGCATTTGGGGCTTAATTAGGATGCTTGGAGAAGGGTTTTCCTCCAGTTTTTCCTAATTCCTTAAATTCACCAATAGATTTTTGTAAACAAAAATACAAGTCTGGGTGTTTTCTCTCTATTATTTTAGGAGTAACCTTTATATATGTGGGAGATTAATGGTATATGTTCCTTATCTCACTGTGTTTGAATAACATCCTATTAATTCCTTTCTCCATTTCAGCCTATTGGCAAAATTGATGTTTACAGGCCTGCTTTTTTGCTTGTAATTGAGGACATGTGCAAAAATATCAAAATTTGTGTCCTGTGCAGTATGAAGACGTCTGTGAATATTCATTAATAGATTAGCTTGTTATGGTCTCTCTTCTATATAGTTCTATTCTTAGACATATAATTTGAATAATGTGATCTTTGAAGAATCTGAAGATTTTGAAGATTGTTGCTGTCTTGTGAAAGTAATCTCAAAAAGTATAACTGTTGTCTTACTTGATATTTCTTGCCCTAGTAATAATGTACTTGACCTTATGTTCCTAACCAGTATAACTACTAACAGAACTGCTGTCAAACTAAATAAGGATTATTAGTACTTTTGTCTTCTCTGTGCTTGAAAGAAAAGTAAAATGTCACTGTTATATTTCTTGTTGTCATCAATAAAAATAAATAAAAAGTTGTTTGTTGTCTAGTTTAATAAAAGGTTGGGAAATCATTAAAGTTATCAAATGGTCACAGGGAAATTATGAAGTGTGTCACTAACTTCTCACAGGGCAATAAGGCTTAAGCAGATGAAAATAATAATACTTCTTTGATGACCAGAGGATGAGAGAATCTCTTAACTGGTTTGGAGGTCTACAGAAGGAATAAGACGACGATATTAAGAAATGGAACTGGGCTTCTAGAGTTAACCAAACTGGTAAGTGAAACCTATATGATGCCTGAGTCTAATTTAATGACTAGTTATAATAAACTAAACAGCAACCACATTAATCTGTAACAAATGAATGGCACCAGCCTGTAGAAGAATGACACTATTGGTAAAGCTAAAGCTGATAATCAACCAAGGGCAAGAAAAATGACATTTTCTGATTATGTCCAGCACAGGAATGGAAAAGATGGCTTAATTCACAAAAGAAATATAGCTCTCTTAAAACCTCCAGGCCTAGAAAAAATTATACCTCAGCAAGTGGAACTTAAGTTTAAGAACTGGATCAAGAAGCAGCAACCCAGGCTGGAGTTGTGGCTCAGTGGTAGAGAGCTTGTGTAGCACATGTGAGGCACTGGGTTCGATCCTTAGCACCACATAAATAAACAAAATAAGTTCTAAAAATTAAAAAAAAAAAAGCAGCAAACCCTGATTATATATTTAATTAAGTTTCTAACTCAAATTTTGGGCCGTTTATGTCAACTTTTTGCTTATATGCCTAAGTATACCTGGTTATTAATTTTCACAGACCTTGCAGCATCCATAACCCTCCCTGTTACACAGGATGCAGAAGTACTTATTCTCTAAACCTTTACGAACCAGTGGCTGGACAGCACACTATATCATTACTAGTAACTGAAGTGTGATATCTGCTTTCATGTGTTTCTCAATATATTTCAGTCATATTTAGGATATTCTTTTTGATATACCACACACTGTTATCTTTTTGACATGGCACATACTGTATGAAAAAAATTTAAGTGCTACTCACAAAATCCAAAGTCATTAATTCTTCCAAAACTACATTAAGCTCCTTGGGAATTACACCAAGGAGGGCGTAGTTAACATAAATGTGGTAAACAAGGATGGTACATAATAGTTTTCCACTAGAAACAATATGTTCAGTGATAAAAACCAATGTAGGTGCTTCCATTGCCACCAAAAACTGCACCRATTGTATTAGGAAAAATTTCCTTCCTTATTTCATATAATTTTATTAAAGGATAAAAAACTTTTCCAATATTCTTTTTACTTTTTATGGTGTCACTTTTGGATGATATTTACTCTTCATACTCAATTAGAAACACTGGCACTTTTTATAACAATGAAAGAAAAATGTAAAAAGCCTAATACAGTGTAACAAACATCCATTAGAGTCATCACTGACATGCTAAAAAGGTAGAAGGAAACTTAGAACGCAGAGTCCCTGCCACTCTTCAGTGGTCAGGAAAGTACAGTTAACTTTTTAGGGGGTAGGGGCTCTCATTTTTCTTATTAATAGCAGTTCATAAGCATTTAAAGATGTATTCTTTGCCATTTACAGAATAAACATGCATAAGGAAAAATAGCTTTATTAAAAAATCAGATCTCTATAGCATACACGAGTTCACATCTTCATTTAGCCCTAAGCTTGATTGTATATGCACATTRTAATATTTCAATGACGTTCTAGATAACAATTTCAAATACATCACCATATACTTATTGGTAGATATCAAACAAAGCTACTGACTTTGAGGGGGAAAAAAATAAAGTTTCTTACCCTGAGATAATCATTCCCACAGTGTATTTGAGAGTTCTCAAATATTTACAAATTTTAACAAAATATTTATCTTTTCACTGCATGTGTCCATGCTAAGTTCTCTGCTATAATACAAGAAAATAATAATAATGACCAGTATTGTTTTCTGGTCCTGTCCATGATGAATAGTGAAATTATAGCATAAAAAGTAGTTAGGAATTTACTATAAACATTATCTGGCTCCAAATGTCTTATAACAAATAGCTACTAATATGACTATGCACAACATATCCTGGATTGTAATAAACCTGAATGTCTTATAACAAATAGCTACTAATATGACTAAGCACAATATATCCTGGATTGTAATAAACCTGTAAACCCCTTAAAATAGTGTTTCTCAACATTTTCTTCATCACCCTCCCTCCCAAAGAAAAAAACTACATTTAATTCAAATTTAATAACTATATACTGCTCCCTAATAAGAAAATTCAATGCCAAGGAATAAAAATGAATTTTCTTGGTATTTTTGAATTTTGAAAGGCCAGAATCCACTGTGTTACTGAAGATTGTTTTGTACCCTAGAATCAATTTTTAATCCTATTGAGAAACATAAAGTTATTGATAATGAATTAAACAGTCCTTAATATTATTAGGGGGAAACAGCRGGTAACAATGAAGGTTGGGATTGGCTTCTAGTACCATCTCTGTCCCATGATGGTTGTGTGRTATCAGAAGAAATCATGTATGTATTTTCTTATTTTGGAAAAAACCAGGAATAGTATCAAACCTAATAATTTGGGAAAATCATTTAATGTCACTGGGCTCAATGTTCTTGGCTCTAAATTGAAGGAATTGGTATAGACTGGTTATTCGCAGTTCTGTTGTATTTACTAATAAAGGCATTATAAACGATATCAATGCTCAGCTATTTACCCAGACAAATTAAACTAAACTCTGGAGTAAATGGTCATTGGTTCTCAAACTAGTGTCAATCAAAATCACCTGAAAGGCTTGTTAAGAAAACACACTGGTGGGCCTACCTCCCACAGTTTCTGACTCAGTAGGTTTGGGGGTAGGGCCTTCAAATTGGAATAATCAAGTTCTAGGTGATGCTGCTATGCATCCCTGGACACACACTTGAGAACCACCAGAATAGGCATATGTATAAACTGTCTGGGTCTCCCCAGCTGAATTATAATTTCAAAGCTATTGGTATAGAAAATACTAATAATGTTCTTTTTAGTTCTAGGATACTGGGATTTTAATATTCCAAGAGTTGTTAAGCATCAAAATGATTTATATAAAAAGCACATCTATGGACAAATATCAATTTCTTGGTCAATTTTCATTAAAAATTCGTTCCTATAAAGCATTTTACAGTATTTCTTTGAAAATTAATATTTTTACAGTACATTTGCTGCATATGTGGTTCTTCATTTTTTAGTAGAGATAATTTATCTTGTTGTACATATCTCATCATTCAATAAGACCATTGGTATAATTGACCAATGGATAGTAGCCAGCTGTTTTTGAACTGTTTGAAGAGAATCTTGTAAATTTGTAGTCCAGAGGTAATTCTAAGAGGGAGAAAAAACCAAAAAACAATTTGATTATTCTGCAGGTCTCTAACCACCTTTCAAAAATACAAATAAATAAAAGGAGACATTCAGTTTTATTTTTTAGAGTTTCATAATTTTATGTTTCTTTTACCATGTGGACAGGTGTCACTAGGATGAGTGTGAATGTCTTTTCTTAATACTTAAGTCAAATCACATTTAGCCATACTGCAAATCATTCTCAGAGCTCTAATAACTAGTGAGTTCAGTTTTAGTACTCTACACAATAAATAGGTATGCTCATCTGAATTTAAAAAAAAGAATTAAATCTCCCAGGTCTTATTCAGCAAATCTCATAAATGGTAAATGTGAACTAATAATCTTCACAGCCTCAGGGAATAGTAAGAGGGTTACTAAGAATAATCTTCGAATGTTCAGCAAAATAAGAATTCTAATATACATAATATGGTAACTTTCTCTATGTGATAAGCATTGCACATACACAGGACCTGGAGGGGAATTAAGATAGATACCATATAATATATGCTTGATGTTAGAAAATATGATAATCCTCATCTATGTCTCAAAAGTTTAAAACAATCCTCAGATACTACCCCTACCCCTCAACTTCTCAAAGGGACCATTAAAAAGAAATATTTCAAGTGAAGCATATCAGCACATATCACATTATGATACTCATTCCACACCCAAATATATGACAGTAGCCCAGTGCGGTGGCATATGCCTATAATCCCAGAGGCTCAGGAAGCTGAGGCAGGAGGATTGTGAGTTCAAAGCCACCCTTAGCAACATAGTGAGACCCTGTCTCTAAATTAAATATTAAAAGGGCTGGGAATGTGGCTCAGTGTGCCTGGGTTCAACCCGCACTACCAAGGGAAAAAAATATATATATTGCCATGTGTATATATATAGTTGTGTGTGTGTGTGTGTGTGTGTGTGTGTATGACAATAATCCTTATTTCACAAATTTTACAAGTAGAACCAAAGTACTAAATATTTTGAAATTATACTTTATTTTAGATGCCACTGAAAACCATCAAAACTCAGTCAATCTATGAAATGAAAACTAGTGCTAGAGAATAAGAATAAACACTGCCTTCCTGATGTTAAAGAGAGCTAGGATTACTACAAACAGAAAAACATTTGACATCAGTAAATGTCATAGGTCCTCTGTTTGCCAGAGGAGTTTTGTCTGTTTGGTGGTTCTGAAGATTGAACTCGGGGCCTTGTACATGCTAGGCAAGTGCTGTTATCACTGGGCTRCATCTCCAGCCATAGCTGGAATACATTTTTAACCAGGCATTTAAAATTGCATTGAGTGGTATGCAGTGGTGCAGGCCTGTAATCCCAGCAGCTTGGGAGGTTTAGGCAAAAGGATCACAAGTTTGATCTAACTAGTGAGTTCAATTTTAGTACTCTACACAATAAATAGAAATGCTTATCTGAATGAGCAACTTATTGAAGTCCTAAGCAACTTACTGAAACCCCGTCTCAAAAAAAAAAAAAAAAAAAAAACAACTTAAAAAATAAAAAAGAAAGGGCTGGGTAAAGCACCCCTGGGTTAAATCCCTGGTTCAAAATAAAATATAATAAAACAACTAAAATTTAAAAATAAATAAA